AAACCATGCTGAAATATGTTCTCGTATCCATGTAGAATCCATTCTCTGGCGACCACCAGTGTACCTTGCTCAACAGTAGCAGACGGAAAATAACCTATGGCTGATGAATGCCATTTGCAGTTTTGCAGCAATCACTGTCTTACTGACTGATATAGAAAGACGACTTTTGAGCATATCACCTTTGAATTCCCAATTCATGAAGGTGTTTTTCTCTGGAACTGAGTCGGTGACTAGTTTAGATTGACTGTTTTTTCTGTTACTGTCAATAAGTCAGTTCGGATAACCGTTTTCTGTAAGCTGGGCTTCTGGGAAGAGAAGTTATAAGTCAAAGCAGCCAGAACTTTAAGTGTTTCTTACCATAAAGCAGAGCGAATGAATCAAGTTTCTTTTCCTGGAGACAGGCAGCCAACTACAAAAATCAGTAATACACTAAAGATCCTCACGATGTGATCAGTTTGTAAAGGCAAAAGTAATCGGCAAATGTTTTTGTTTTGTCACACTGTAATCTTTCCTCACACGTATTTGGCTAAGTTTCTTAGTTTTGCTATGTTACCATTCAACAAAACTTAGCACATGTGAGTGAACAAAGACACCAAGTTCATCCTGTAAACCGCATGGCAAATTATTTGGCACAGCCATAAAATCAATAAATATTCTCAACTAGTTTTGTGTTATTCTTGATGAAGGTGCCAAAAAGAAGACTGGAGTTTTCTACAAATTCTCTTCAATCACGCTACTAGTCTAAACTGCTGCAAAATATGCTATTTGTGAATCACGTTGAGAAACATCAATATTGATCAGAAACTGAAATTGTTAGTTTCATAAATATCATATAAAAGTTGCAAAATATGAAATGTTAATATATAGGAAGAGTGAAATCTAATTTGTATATGAAGGAGAAGTCATAATGTGAGCTGAGTGAGTGGTAACATGGAACGTAGCTCAGGAGTGAGTGCTTCAGTTTATTTTCCCAAACTCAATGTAGAACGCAAACGTGAAGAAAAGAGAAATTCATAGTGAACAGAAATGTTCGGGGGAAAGAACGGTTCAACGGAAAAACATGAGAGTTTGATGGGTCTTGGAGATGATGAAGAGTGAATTCATGCGCTTCATTGAAAACAGTCCCCAGGCATTGGTTCTTAGTATTTGGAGGATCCTGATAAGAGAGTGGCTGGCTCAGAACAACATTCAAACACTTCATGGATTAGTGTTAGGTTTTTGTAAGATCACCCCTAAATGTTTCCTCAAGTAATTTTATGTCAGCTGTCAATGTCTGACGAGGAGGAGGGTGCCTTGATATGTGTGGCTCATGTCCTAACTGATTCACTTCCCCTCCTTATTTAGCACTCTAAGCCCAACCTTAATATTGGCAGACAGAATGTAGACACCTATGGTCACATACAGCTTATCCTTTTCATGTTCTTCTCTTTCAATGACCATATCTTACATCCGTCAAAGGAGATAAAACGAACTGCTGAGTAGTGCACACCTACGTTGATTGGCAGCTGGATATCACGTTTATGTTACAGATGACACAAGATGACAAGTGCCAGCTGGGTTTTTCTATCGGTGCTGAGATTACGTCAGCAATCAGTTCATTAGGACCTATCAAATAAACGAAGTGATCAATATGCTCGGCCAATTCACTGCCTTTACTCTTCAAATTGCGAGTCGATTCACATCAGCTCTAAAGCATCATACCTAAAATTCAAAGATTTCTGATCAAGAATTTCTAAAGACTGAACTTTGACAACGTCTTCACCTAAGAGGAGAATATCATCCGTATACTTCAGTTCGACAAGGGTGTTCTCTGGTAGCAAGTCAATCTCTGAGCAGCTAAAGATATTTCAGGGCCCACCTTATAATCAGCCAAATGAATATCAGTCAGTCGAGAGTTGTATGAAGTTACTATGAGCTAAGAAGCAATAATTACATTCCGCTCATTTTTCATTAACATAATTACGTATAAAGTCATATTCAGAAGGCTACAGACTTACATCAACAGCTTTCCCTACTCGATGCTCAAGGTCATACGACCAGAAAGGATAAGCAACAGGGGATTCTGGGAACGAAACAACCAGTAACCCGCTGCCTAACAAATACGTAGAAAATGGGTTGGATAGACGCTGAGGAAACCGTAGTGTAACACCACACCCCAGTCCATCGTTCGAGCGCATCCCTAATGGGAAACGATAAGTTGGGGGTAGGTCCGAGTGTGACATGAGGTAGATTGTGTTTGGTCAAGATGAGAATTCATGAAAAACCACAGATCCAGCTAAAATGGACTGCAGAAAAACACGATGAAATCCAGATATGTTGTTGTAGCCGTATTTTCCATTTCTAACCTAAGGTAATAATAATAATGTACAGGTTTGAAATTTACCTTTCAATATGTTGAATTCCGAGGAAAGCTGATGAATCTCAGCACTCTGTAAACGCATTCTGGTACTAATTCTTAATAATATCTGTGTTTATACAGATGACCAATCAGCAGACTATCATTTTCTGTTGACAAATAACCCTCACCTCTTGTTCCACAGTCAAGTATACAAATAGCCCAGTAGAATGATTGTGGATATTCCACTTATTATGGCAGCTGTCAAACTAACTGAGAAAATGGTGACTTGTTTTTCTAAAGCGATTAGACTCCTCCTCCAAGGCATAACATGGACCATTAGCCAATGAACTGACAACTGAAAATAACATATACACCATTCACTTTTTTTATTATCAAATTTTGATTTTTCTGTCGACTGATTGTACCGAAATGTTAGACCTCTTTTGTGGAACACTTCGAAGATGTCTAAGGATTAAACTGAAGTAAATTAGTGCATAGTGACTAGCAGTTGGATGAAGGATACGCATTTCTCGTCCAGTCAATCAATGGTGAAATCAAAATTGCTGATCTACAGAAGCCCAAAAGACAAAATCCTGCACCTGACCCTTTCTTCTATGTGTATATATCAGTTAACCTGTTGCTGTTGAGCCAGGTACATCGGTCGTTCGACGCGCATCGTGTCAAAAAGGGTCAAAGAATACTATCCAGCGTGGCTGCAGAAAAGAAATAGTGGCCGTATAAGGAGTGCAATAATCGAACATCTCGTCACCACTGATTATTCTATCTCAACAAACGCCTCCTGCTTCAAAGTAATCTACAAAGTGAAGAACAACCTGCCTAAGACAATACGTTTCCGTCTTCTTTGCATCGCAGAAGACCTAGCCATTAGGCTAGAGGAAGCAGAACTGTGCATACAAAAGGAAATTATTCAACCACTTCTACTCCCATGGCAACAACTGTGTTGATTTAACTTAACTTTTCTTTGTATGCTTATTTTTCTACTCAAAACCCTTGTGTAATTCCGTATATTTTGTTTCCATGTACATCCTGAGTACAACTCTTTCATTAAACTATTCATGTTATTACTCAACTCTTCCTTAACAACCGTTTGTGACAAATCATCACTTTTGTTACTACCCTCTTATATCAACGTCCAGTTCATCTGAACTTACTAATTGTATTTTCGTTTGACAAATTTAATGTACACACACATACAAAACAACCATGTACATATTTGCGATTGTACAGCTATGGAAGTGAATTCGTCGTCGAAAAGAGACTCTTCGCTGAACTACTTGTCTTCTGTCTATTAATGTTCGAATGGGAATTTTTCATGAAATCAAAATATTGAACTGAAAATAAATAATAATTCATACCTGCCTCAGAAAAGAGACGACTCTCTTAGCCTAATCAATGTAGTGGGTGACTTTTCGGCTTTCACAATGACGAGTTGTGGGTTCAAATCTCATCCAGAGCACCATCACTCACTCGGTAATCCAGGTGGATCCAGTTGACTAGTCCCGATTAGGATGAAACGCGCATCACGAATCCCACTGCCACTCACCGTCAACCAAAATTACACACTTGCACTCTTCAAAGTGTGCATTAAATCAAGTTATTCACACACACACACACACACAAGCTAAAAATATCTTCAGAAGGTATTTCTTTCAAACAATCACTCAACTGCTAAGGTGATTTCCAGTGTTTTGTAGTCACGTAGATAGATTTAATAAATATTAGTAATAAGAATGCAAAAACAGTGCTTTTCATCTATGAAACTTTCCAATGAAGATTGAGAGATACTTTTCACACTATATTTGGTAAACGCCTGAAATAAGGTTTTACATCACATTTCTAAAAACAGAATACACATGTAGAGTGGTCGTTTTGTTTTTGTTACTTGTCACTTGAAAATATATACTCAGAAAAGCCAATGACAAATGACACTACTACTATATGTGGTTTATTTGTTTATAGGCCTCTGAAGTCTACTATAAAACTAGAAGGATTGTGTACTTTTTTCCATATTGCATACATCCATCTGCAGTAGAGAGTAAGTTCTATGCGATTTTCAATATATGCTGTACAATTTTGAATGTATCCGTAACACTTAGTTGCATAGCACACTGGCACAATGTTTAGCTAGAGAGATTATTTTAACAATAAGCGTCTATTTGAATTCCTTTTATCGAATAATAAATTCAGGAGGATTCTTGAAAGACACTTGGTAAAGAATAGTTCAGTGATGTTTGCTTTTACTGAATGTATTTACTCATACTTTTTCATTTCAGTTTCATAGTTAACGTCATATAGATCTTTAGTAGGGAATCTGACCAATTAATTGAAATTACTGAACCCGATAGCCAGTAGTATGTTAAACTGTCTTTGAAATTAGTCAGTGTTTATGCCCAAACTGATAAGTCTCACATCGAGTCTACATCAGCAGAATAAAGGAGACCTGATGATTGATAGCTCCTCGATTAATCTATATTTGTTTTATTCTCATAATGTTGTGCACTCTCTGATCTCAGAGGTGGCACAACATGCACTAACACTTTCAAAGTATACTATAAGATGATTTTATATTTTGTTAGATAGAATTCGTGCAATTCTTAATACGTTTTCCTGACAAATTAATAATTCCTTGTGAGTAACACTAATGGATAAACGCGAGAAAGAGGAATTGATTCAAATGTTCAAAGAGCTGGATACAAATAACGATGGATTCTTGACCTTTGAAGAACTCAAAAGTGGTTTGGAGGCATCCCCCGATTATGATGAATTTTTAAAGGTATGTTCAGACAAACTTTTACAACAGTTCTTATTATGTATAGAGTGGTAAAGCTTATTTTATCTCAATTGTTTATATAATTTGCCTATCCACTTGGATGATAGGTAGTTAAGAAAGTATCAAGCAGCTTTCATATAATAATGCTAAGAAAATCTATTTGTAACTCTTTATATTTCTTGATAACTCTATGAGTAAGGCTTACAGCGTAGTAAATGATTTCCTCACTAAGACTGTCTCACTGGAATCTAAGTCTATACGTTGATCGCGTCACTTACTTCTTATCTCATCTTCCGCCTGAACATGTCTGGATTTGAGGTGCTTAGCCTCCATAAAGATATTCAAACACACAATTCTAAATCCATCCTAGTGAAGAGTCGAGTACAACAGATTGTTTTTGGAACTGTGGGCAAAATAAAATATCAGTTCATGACCAAACTTCTTGGGTTTTCCTTCCATGTTACATCAGATGCCTGACAATAAACAGTAACAAACACACTGCTTATGTCTACACATTAAGGTTGTAAACGAAGGAGCGACATGTTTGTATTACAACTAATGAATATGAAGATATTTTGGAGTTCTTCCAACCGAATATTATGTATGACTAATCAGATTATTTTATCGTGGAATTTTTACTAAATTGACTACAACCCTGAGACGCTCACCTCGGTTTTGTAGACTCAAATTGACTATTCACTGTATATATCAAACATCATACAGTGTTCTTTGTATTAAATTTCATTCACCTTGTATATTCATGAACCTCATATTTGATACCAAGTATGTATATACTGCAGATGAAGGTAACTGAAGATATGACTTAAGTTGGGGATTACATTTTGAGTTAGTTTTTCAAAATAATCTTACTGTTTTTGCAGTGACCCAAAGCACTCTTCTTTGGTAGTTTGACACAGTAGCCTTTCTTTAAAAATTAGTAGGCATCTTTCTTTATTCGCAAACTTTTTCAATAGTAGCGTCAGCATGTCCGTTGAGGTCTCTGTATCCGTTTTCAGAAGGAATTCCACAGCCTTCCAGGCTTTGAGATCCAAGGTATCAGTTCGTGTATTATGAATCGAAAGCATTTAGAACTCTCCTTAACGTAACAAATCTTCAATAGTTAACCTCAGTTATTTCTTTCATTAAAATGTGAGACCATTTTAGTTTCGTATTATAAATAAATTGTGTGTCCAAACTCCCATCAGCACATAATGGAAGTGCATTTTATACCTTGGGCAATCCTACGCCGACATCACTGAGATCACATACAGAACCTGAATATGTATATATATATATCCATATATATGTATATATAACAAATGCTCATTTTACAGCCACTCAACTGTCATCTATTTTATTCCTTTTACAGCAATTAATGAAATTAATGGATTTAAATCAAGATGGAAAGGTTTCACTGGATGAATTCATCAAAACTATTGATTGCCTACTTAATATACTTTAAACTGTCACCGATGACTGCATTACAATACCTAACATGAGAGGAATAACAAACAATAATTGCCTTCAATTTTTTCTTAATAATAGCATTAATAATTTTAACACTATGCGAAATAAATTTTCACTCTGACCGCCATTTCATTTCCTCGCTAACAACCGCCTTTGTATTATAACATGCAGTGTTACACTGTACCTTGCAAACAGATAATGTTTATTTTCTGAAAATCAATTATTATTTAAGTCATATCAGTGTCTTTTTTGCAAAGTAGTGGATGGTGTGATGATCGCACTTGACAGAACAATATCCCATATCTGTAGGTCTAATTTTCTCGTTCGTCTGTCAATCGTATTATAGCTTAAATTTTATGCGGAAACAGAATCCACACCTCCCGAATAAATAATAATGCCGTGTACTGATGAGTATTTTTCTTGAATGCGCGAGTGATCATCGATAATTGTAAGGAGAAGCTATAAAGTGTAACACCACAGTTTTATATGCATAGCGCCAGTGTCTTGTTTCTCTCACAATGTCAGAGGGATAATTCGGGTACATCAGGTTTTTAGCCTGACAGAACTGTTATTGTTTTCAATATAGCGAAAATATTCATTCAGACATTTATAAAACACAAAACTATTGAGCAAAGAATATCCTTTTCGATAATTTCCTATTCTGGCTCTACAAGTATATATATATATATATATGTTTATATACGAAGAATATTCTAGATTAGTAGTCAATAACAATATTAGCGATCTTTAAATAATATCGGTTTGTAAAGTAGGATTGACGGGATTACCACAGTTCAAGAAAGACACATAATTTATAATAATAACAATATAAATATAATGACAAATAGAATATCAACTAAAATTAGGGAAATCTCTACAAAAAATTGAGGATCATTCGAACCCATATGGCCAAGGTAAGGACAATGTCTGAACTAACCTCTTCTGGATACAAAGTTAGGCCTCTTATTAATGAAAGAAACGGTAAAAAGGGCCGTTTACTTAGTATTTCTTAGTAAATAAGTACTGTCATGCCTTACACACTTTTCTCACCACATAAAATGTATGCCCACCAAATAAGGTATTGTAGAGTTTTCTACTTAGTCTTCCGAGAATAAAGTGTTTTATAACTGTCTCTTATCCTGACTGATGAGATGCAATCTAAGAGTTGTATATAGAGAGGCTGTTCAAGGTTCGACAAAGTATTATTTGCTGATTTGTTGCATGATATGAAGTGTCTATCTGCAACGGTACTAACAAGTTGGTTCAGGGACACTGCATCAACCCTACTAACAGCTTTCAGTATGCTTCTCAATGTAACAAGATCTTCCTTAAGTAACTTAGGTAAAATTAAGGCAGAGTGATAAAGAAGAATCGGTACGATATATGAATTAACGAATCGTTAAAGTAGAGACTAGGTGATATCTGATTGTCTTGACTTCATTACGTGGAAGGTTAGTTAGACGAAATGTCTACCTAGAAATTGGCATTATATTGGAAGGCCAAGAATTAGACTCGACTGGGCGAGAGATATAATTCAAGGCATTTAATATTCGAATAATTTCAGGGAAATCACGTTTGCGTCCTAAAGTGAAATTAACAATTTGACATTTGGAGGTAATTAGCTGAAGGAAATTCGACAAGTACCAATGACTAATTTCTGATGAAAATCGATTCATCTGGAAACAGTCTAACTTACAGACATTCAAATTATTAGCGTACTCAACAAAACTGGCTTCATGAGAAGGAGACAAGTCATTCAAGAAGAAAGAAAAAAGCAAAGTAAAAAGAACAGCATCTTATAAGACACCAGCTACAGTAAGGAAAGAAGCAGAAAAATTTCCTTTATATTCAGTGTACCGCTTTCTACAGCAAACATAAGGGTGCAACCATTCCTCACTCCGGCGACCTATGTTTGTCAAGGCACATACAGCTGAGGAAAATGGGAATCCTTCGAGTGACTGCATGTGACAATGTAGACTACTCAAAAGGATAAAACTGTTGAGAATCCGTATGTGGCCATTTTCTCCTGTTCTGGTGTTGAGGCATACAACGTTGTGGGAAGAATGTTTCTCTTAATTTATTTACATCTCCAGTGGAACACAGGGCTTCAAGCTAGAGCTTGGAAGTTTCAGTAGCAGTGGTATTTATTTTTACAGGATGAGGCTGCTGGCCTCATGCCCAGCCTTCCCTCTTTACCAGTTTTATTACTGGCTTAGCGAGGTAAAGGAGTGAGTTTGTGGCCGGGGATCGAACCCTGAGCCACCTGAGATGTTGTCGAGTATTCTAGCTCTGTGCCACCGACTCACTGGAGGAACAATAATTATTATATGTCTAAGCTGAACATTAAACCTTCGACTAACCAACAGTAGCCGTGATCGGTGGATTCAGAATGTCTAGATAAAGATTTGATAAATAAATGCACTGTAAAGATAATTAGAAACTAAAGAGTACTTCAGACTTCTGAAGGTTCTATAAAAGAAGTGTAATTGAAAATTCTAGTAACTTATCTTTCAATAATTTCAACAGTGACTGTGCTAATCTATCATGAATTAACATGCAGATAGCATAAAGACACTCTGTATTAGTGAAACATTTCACAGTATTTGCAGGGCGTGTACATCTAAACTGTATACTCCTATGCTTGACGCAAAGCAGATATAAAAACAAAAAACCTGTTGCGTTTTCATATCTGTTTGCTTGTAAGTTATTCTATCTTAAATCATCAATTGTAAGCACGCGGTGAACTCAACATAGTTAAATGGTTTCCAGTAGATAGCCTTATATAGTATATTTCTAAGGTCTGTTCCACATGTACGCTTTTCAGAGTAGTTTAAAGATTGTTTAGACTGCCAACAACTGCTTAGATTTATTCACATAAACCTCAAAATGAATACAATTCAGAAATGTATGTTCCTTTTCAATTAGCTTCTCATCATCGACTTTACACTAATACATTGTTTTTACATCAAGATGTCTTACCAATCAAGTGGTTATTTTAGTTTATAATTTTTAAGTAAAGGGGGAGGGGATTGAAAGTAAGAGGTTAAAAGTCATCAGAACAACTAATTAATAAACAAAGCAATAACAAGACGTAATTTGTTTGAATCGTGTATTGTGTTTGCGCAACACATTTAGAACAATCTGATCACACACGGACTTGTCATAGGAATATATGATGAAATCAATAAAGAGTTAACAGGTGAGAAGATAAATTTAGGTCAAGTTAAAAGGATATATTGATGGTCAAAACAACAACAAAGATCAGTAAACCAAATAACAGAGGTAATAGTACATCTACCGTTGCTGGTATCAAAACAAAGTTTATCAAGGAAGGTGGTTTAGTGTGATAACGAATTGTTGCTTTGAATGCATAGAGGTGGTTTAAACTTCCTAATCGCTAACTGGGGCTTCCACAGACTTTAGGATACGCCCAAAACACGTTCTACAGATAGGTTTAAAAGATGTGTAAGCGTCAATTCTATGTCCTGTCTCTATAATATGTTTCGCGATAGAGGAGCTAGGTCTCCTGTTCTCACCACTAATAGGTTCTGAGGATTCTGTTTGCTTCTGGAGTCATTTAGGATCGATTCTCACCTCTTAACTCTCTACTAATTTCATGTATACATTCATACAACAAGTTCGTGTGTGATCAGATTGTTCGAAATGTGTCGCGCAAATACACAGTACACGATTCAGACAAATTGTGTCTTCGTATTGCTTTGTTTAAATCCATAAAGGGAACTAATTGTTTTGAATTAACTAATTGATGTTAGTAACAAGGTATCTAAGTTTTAAAAGACGGGTGAAAATTAATTACGGAATTCAAGATACGTTGATTCTTAGATGTCAGTAACAAGTTATTACATGATTGGGAAATTTGTAAAATAGCAATGGTGACTAAGAAGAATAGGATGACTCAGAAGAGCTACATTGAGAAGAAGCCACATATATCCCAACACAAAATCCCTCCGACGACATGCGTTGAGTCTTATTGACTCAACTAAAGCCCGTATTCCAGAACTACAACGCAACATTTCACAAAGGTCTCCAGCCCTCCAAGATCTGCAACCTAATGAAACCCAGAGGTTTACGGAATATGTCAATACAGTCACTGAAAAACGAGCACAATCTACTATTTCCCGACTCACCAAAAGCCTCAAATCCATCAAAGCACATAAACAATTTCCTGAAGACCCTTCGAAATTCGTTTTCAACTACTCTTCACTTGGTTTATCCAACCTACAGTTAGAAGCCCTATCCATGGGCCCAAAATTCTGCGACGTCAACTTAAACGCCAACAGACTCCATACGCAAGTACAATTCGAAAACCTAATGACCCAAACAAATGATCTAACCCCAACCTCTGAACAAGAATTGCAGCGTTTCAAATCAACAATAATCGATAGCTGTTATCAGTATCTTAATACAAAGCCAAAAGTATACAACCACCTGACAAAGCAACATAGAGAAGAATTAAATCAACTAAAACAAAATGAAGAACTCCTTATAACTCGTCCAGACAAAGGAACTGGTATAGTCCTTATGGACAAGAAAGACTATATTGAGAAAATGAACAACATCTTGTCAGATAAAACAAAATTTTCGCAACCACCCAACGAAAGAAACAAAACGGAACAGATTGAAAAGCAACTCACCGATGTCCTGAAAAGAATGCAAACCCAAAAGTTAATCACTCATGAAGTGTATGATCAAATCCGACCGACAGGGTCAACAATACCAAGACTATATGGCTTACCGAAGATACATAAAGCCAACCTCCCACTTCGTCCAATTCTGGATATGTCAGGTTCCCCGTACCATTCAATAGCGAAATGGCTCACTGACATTTTAGAACCTGTACGAAAACGAATGTGCCACTATTCACTTCGTGACACTTTCCAATTCGTCGATTACATTAAAGATATCAATACAAAGAACAAAACTATGCTCTCCCTCGACGTTGAATCACTATTTACCAATGTTCCACTCACAGAAACTATCTCTTATATTTGTCACTATATCGACGAAAATCAGCTGAACATCGGATTACCGACGACCTGTTTAAAAGAACTACTTCTGAGATGTACACTCAATGTGCAATTCACATTCAACGACATTATTTACAGACAACAAGATGGGATCGCAATGGGATCTCC